TCGTTGGCCCTTTCAGATGTCAGGTAGAGCTGCATTGCCACCCCACACCTATCTGCTGCTAAGTGAGTGTGCCACGACCAGGCAAATACGGATTCTTGCATTACTAGTGGCAACAGTGCTCAGTGCTACCTGCCATTTGTAGGCTAATCGCTTGGCAGCCCATCTGCCGATGGCTCATTTAGCTACTGGTGTGAAAAACAACAGCTTGCTGAGAAAAGGCACACAGCCTATAGGAGGAAAAACAGAGGGATGGAGAGGAAAGAATGAAAGAAGGAAGGTCAGCTTTGGATAGATAGGTAGATAAAAAGGAGACATAGGAGTCTCCTATTATTGAGATCAGTAAGAGAAAAGGACCTCAGGGCATACCTTGGGTTAGGCATACAGAAACCATACTCACTTGTTTTCAGACAGTGTCACCTGCACTTCCCACCCTTTAATCAGAGGTGAAGTACCTTGGGAAACCGGTGAATAACTGAAATCTGCAGGATTCCTATTAGGTGAATAGCAAAGAAGAATGACTCAGAGTAAGAGCTTCCTCCTGCCTCAATGTTGTTGGGTGTTCAGGTTGTAGGATGCATACATGAGGTCCCCTCCATGTTGTTGTTCTCTGCGTGCAACTGATGGAAAGAGAGAGAGAGAGCCCAGCAGCCAGGGATGCTTCAAATGGCCAGGTGAGCACACATTAAGTGCAACCATCTGTAAAATAGAGGAATGAGTCGATAATAACATCAGCATTAGCCGATAATAACATGATGACTAAATAATTGAATCAGGCAACAACGTCCCTCTCTGATCAAGCAAAGAGAAAAGGCAGATGTAAAATGGCCCTCAGAAAAGAGGCTAGAAGTTGTGTTGTGCTGAAAATGCTGCTGTGTGGAGGATCTCAAGTCCAAGGCTTGCCACCATCTCTAGGGCCTGAGATGGCTGCTCTGACCTTCTCTCTAAATTCCCAGGGCTTCATTTCTGGATTCTTAGCAAAAGTGAAGTCTCCCAGTCTTACTAGAGCTACTAGTAGCAGAATAGAGCTTTTTCTTTAAGATTCACTTCTCTCTTGGAATACCAGATCTGATGGGAGGACTATTTCAATTCTTTGCTAATTGAGGACAATGCTGCTAGAACAACATCTCAGTTTGGTGCTTTTGGGTGCATAGCTCCATTCAGCCCAGTTCTGCCAAGCATTGAAGCTTAATTATATGCTAACTGCATGCTGCCTTGTTCCAGTTTTGTTTTCTCTTTCACATTTTTTAAAAATGTTCCAAATTTTAGAACAGATTGCAGGTGGAAAGTATATTTTTCACCTAATAGATCCCCCCTCCCATCCAAGGTCAAATGGACCATACCAGTAATTGACCAAACCAATTTTTCAGAATTTGCATTGAAAGAAGTTGAATATTTTTATCTGTTCAAACCTCACCCATAAGTCCTAAAAATACAATGCCTCTCTTCAGCCAAGAGCATGAAACTGACAGGAGGATGATTGATTATGTTTCTTGTGCCCCTTTTCTCCAAGGCACACCATCGAGTAACATTCTTCCCTTTTGTCTCAGTGACTTTTAAGAATATAAGAAGAGCGCTGCTGACCAAACAAGGGTCTATCCAGTGCAGCATTCAGTATCCCTCAAGAGACAACTAGATGCATTCAGGAGTTCACAAATAACTAGCATTCAAGGTAGGCCATCTGTAATTCTGGAGATGATAATCAACCATCATGAATAGTAACCACTGAAGGCCACTGACTTTCTATGAGTAGGGTAAGCTGAGAGAAGATGACGCTTCATAGCCACCTGTTGGCCATCCAGTGAACTTCATTGGCTCAGCAGAGCTTCCAACCCACCTTTTCCCAGTACTTTTTCTAACATTCCAACATCTATGCCATCCTGGGTCTCATCATAAACAAGATCGCGGCATTCTGCTTTGAACCAAAATTATGTAAAAACTTGCTTCTTTGGGAGAAATTAACAGGGAGACGGGCTGAAATACCATCACATATAGATGGAAACTTGCTCTGCCTCTCCACTTCATCACACAGGGCTTGTGAAGTAGTTGATGTTGTGAAGCAATTCTTGAACCAGGTGATGGACTGAATGAGAGATTGTTCACTGAGAGGCAGAGGCTATCCTGATGTGTTTCTAGATCTCCCACCAGCGTGCTCTACCTTCTGGCAACTTTCATGACACAGTAGAGTAGAAAGACAAAGATCCAGGAAGAAGAGGCTTGGCAAATTACTTCCTTAATTCCGCCAAGAAAACTGCATGGATGTATCACCCAGAGTCAAGCTCAACTCAAGGCTATCTGTCAGCCTTACAAGATAGACCAGATCAGGAAAGAAGACTGCACAGGATGACTAGAACTATTTGTTATTGAGATAGGCCAAAGTAACAGAAGCTTGCAAGTGTGATTGTGCTTTTCCTCCCCTCCCTCTTATACCCCAGTGAGTCAGGGAGGAAACGCCCTGAGTTTCTTAACACTACCTTCCTTTTGCAGGGCTCATTGAAGGCTTCTGAATACAGGTAGTCCTTGTGTAGTGACTGCCTCATACAGTGACTGTTTGTACTTATGATGAAGAAGTAACTTTGCAGGTCTGAAAAGCAAATGAAAGTTGAAGTAAGATCATAAGCACAGTTGCAGTTTCACTTAGCAACCGATTCACTTAACGACTGAGTTGCCGGTCCCAATTGTGGTCACTAAACAAGGACTACCTGTATTTCCCTGAAGGCTACCTCCACGGCTCTCAACAATATCTTTACCTTACCATATCTATCCCAATGCACATTCTTCCTTCCCGCTGCATTTTCCCAAGCAAAGAAAGGGTTTTCCCTTTAATCCTGGAAAGATTATGGCCCTGTTATTTTGGTGGGAATCTCAGTGGTGCTTCTCCAGTTCATGACCAGCTTCCGGCTTTTCTGAACACAGGGTGTTACAATTCTCTGCAAGCAATCTTGCCTCCTCTCCTCCAGGAGAAATATAGAATTTCATTCCTAGAACTTCTAGTGTTCTGATATTTATATATGTTTCTTTACCAATAATCTGCCATGTTATTGTAACTATGGAAGTGTTGCATCCAAGGGCACTTGTTGACATTTTTACAATCATCTCTTACCTCCATTCTGTACAGAGCAGCCTCTGAGAAGGACACTCATGTTCTGGTTTTGCAAACTGCCCAATACATGTAGACAAATGCAGGTAAACAAATGTATGGAAGAGGGACAACATGTGTGTGTAAGAGAGGGGTGGGGAGTGATTTTATCTGTTTGGAAGAGGAGATGAAAGGTTTTTTATTCATTCCTGACCTGCAAGAGGGTTTTCTGCAATTGGGCACTGGAGACAGTAGCAGAAAGGGTGAACACTAATTGATTAACAGTCACTGCAAACTCAAGACTCGGAAAAACTGTAACTAGTAAACATGTCCGTGATTGTAGAGTTATGAATATCAGCACAGATGGACAATGCCACAGAACATGGGCTGCTTTTTTCCCCTCTCCCCAAATTTCTCTAATATTGCACTACCAAATAATTTTTGGCACCATTAGCAACTGGACTCCAATAATGTACCAGTTAAAGGTTTTAGTGCCCCCCCCCCGCAACAAAAGTAGAAGGGAATGAGTAAAAATCTCTCCCTTTCCCCTTCCAATAATGTCATAACATCATTGCCATATTCCTTGATCACTGGAAAATTAGGGGGGAAATGCAGTCCAGCAGCCACAGAAGGATTCCCTTTCCCTGCTCTAGTCTAAACAACGAAGCAAGTAATGTGGGCGTGCTCTCAGATCTCTTGTGTTTACTAGAAGAACTAGTAGCTTCTGTGGCTCAAAATACGTTTGATCGGTGTGCTGGCTGATGTTCTTGGACAAAAATAGCTTTGCAATAATTATTCACATTCTAGTATCCACCTGTTTGGATTGTTGATATGTATTACATCTGGGACTGCTTTGAATGTTGTCCAGAAGCTTCAGTTAATCAAAAACAGGACAGCTAAGCTGCTAAATGGGACCTGCCCATCCAAGTACATTATCCCTGTGCTTGACCATCTGCACTAGCGTTGTCTGTTTCCAGGTCCGCATCAAGCTATTGATATTCACTTTTGAAGCACTGATTGGTTTGGGCAGGATTCCTGGAGGAGGGCCTCTTCCATATGTGCCCCTGCCCGGAACCTTAAGTTCTCAATCTGAGTCTGTCTCCAAGAAATGCATCTTAAAATATGAGAGAGGAAAAAGGAGGGAATGTGGTAAAAGAAGAGTATGCATTACAGAAATGCACCTGAAACTCCCTGGGAAGAAGAAAACCACTTTAGGGAGTAAGAATTTAGAGCAGAGATGCCAGAAGTGCCAGAGGACTCAAAAAAAATCAAGATGGTAGCTTTGATCACATGGTTGCAGCCACCACTTTAGCTTTTTTTTAACCACCTCTACGGATGATCCTGAGACAAGCTGTCAGCAGAAAAAGAGCTAAACAACCTACCTCTACTGCTTTTCCACTCCAAGCCCCTTCTTAGTCATTCTCTCCCAGCCCAACATTCTCATATTTGGTTAACCTCCACTATTCCTGTAGGTAGGCTCAAAGGCAGGAGGCCGCCCGGCGAAGCATCCCTCGTTGTGCAACATCAGTGAGCACCAGCTTCTGGGCAAGTGGGCATCTCAGGGACTGAAGAAGGCTTTGGCCTGATCCTCTTGGGCTTCTGCATGCTTTGGCCCCACAACCAGCCTGGGTAAGGACTTCTATGGTTTCAGACACTGTTTCTGCACCCACATAGTTTGCATAAACAGAAGCTTGGGAGGAATGTGGCTGACAGCAGTGCTCTATGACAGCCCCCCTCCATCTGCGCTGAGCCAGCCCATTCTCCCTCTCCACTCCCTCCTAGGTCTGTCTCAACAAAGTACACACCTGCCACTGCTCCTCCCCCCCCCCTTGCAAGAGTTGAGTCTAGCGGCTTGCTCAGCCTCTTTCGCGCTTCTCCCCCTGGGCTTTTCTCTTTCTCTCTTACCTCTGGCTCCCCACGACAGCCTTGCAGAGGAGGAGGAGGACCCTCTCTTCAGACACCTGACTGCGGAGAATCAGCACGGATCGCTTGCAGCACTGGTGAATATAGGACAGTGATTTCTGCAGCCAAAGCAACAAGGTAAGATTCTACCAGATTGCATCTGTGAAGAGACAACAAAGAATAATCTCTCAGGCAAGCTGAACTGGACTGCCTGGCCTGATCTAGCAAGAGGAAGTGGAACGACATTCCCTAGAATAAATCTGAGCTGTGGTGTTAGTTTGCTTGGTTCTACTAGCCTTGGGATAGAAAGTTGCCACTTACTAGGAAAGGTTGAAGCAAGGGACCAGAGTCCATACAGGGGAATTATGTACAGAAAAACCCTCTAGAAATGCCTCTAGGTCGGTCTCACCCTCTGCCAATCCAGACAGAGAAATAGAACCATTGTGCCTGAAGGAAACTCAGAGGCTATCCCGCCCAATTCTTCTGTTAATGCAGGAAACCCATTGCTACATCATCCCTAATAAAATAACCACAGGAAGGAAGGAAGGAAGGAAGGAAGGAAGGAAGGAAGGAAGGAAGGAAGGATGGAAGGAAGGGTGGAAGGAAGGATGGAATGAAGGAAGGAAG